AAGAGTACCAAAAGGGGACTAGAAATCTTGTATTTCTAAAATATGAATGTGTCAGCTATGAAAACAGAGATTTTCTGCCTGACTTTTTCCCCATTTGGACTGCCTATGTGCTAACATAATTGCAGTTAGAATGAAAATTAAGAACAATTCCATAGTATTTGCAGCAGAAGAAGGCAAAGAGCTAGTCTGTAGTATGGCCGTTGGGCAATGCTAGTATTGTATTTATAATCCCAGGGAATAAAGTAGGTGCTTTGCTGGTTTTATTATTGCATGATGAAATGGTCTCCATATGTGGGTTTGTAGTTACTGAAATGAGTAAGATGCCGTACCCTTGCTTTCCCTTAGGACACCTAGAAAGGAAAACAGCCTCTAATTCTCTTTTTGCCTAGTCCACTTTGAGAAAATGGATTTAAAGCAGTGGCCTGATATGACTACTGAATGTATTTGCTTGTGCTCCATGCTGCTGGGAAGCAAATAACCTGGCTGAGTAATGTTGGGTGTATACTAAACCAGGATACAATTCTCTGCTTTTAGTCTTTTATTTTCCCTTTCCCACCCTCACTCTCCCTCAGCTTTGTGTTGGACATAGTGGCAGTGCCCGTTGATGAATATGAAATAGGATCTTATAGCACCTGATAGCATTAAACATAAAGTGATAGGCTCAGAGAAGGTTGTGTCCCTCTTCAGTTAGTGGGGCTGCTCAAGCTGCAGGTTCTTCCATGTACTCCAGGTGTACGTTGCAGTACAGGCAAGTGCAGAGGCTTTGGCACTGCATGTCCTTAAAAACAGTGGTGCCTGCTACAGGCCTGCTGCATTCCCAAAGAGAGATATGGGGACACTCTTCCTGGTATTTTAAGAGACAGAGCTGTCAGCAGCTGTAGCTGCTGCTTTTCTGCAGTTGACTCTGTGTTAGTGCACTTTCTGTAGGGCTCTCCTGCCTAACACGTGTACCTTCAGTCCCTTTGCAAACCACATGCTGCCTCTCTAAAGGGTCTGTTTTGATTTCTCTGCTGTGGGCCACCTAGCTGACAGCTACCACAGATCAGCAGGACTGGCTCACAAAAGCTGTCAGAAAGCCAAATTCCACCTCCCAGGATGCTTGGCGAGCAGGCTGCCTGGAGGAACTGCTCCTTTTGACCACCTGGATGTCTCTCCCTTCAGACAGCTCTGCATGAGAGCCACTAGATCTGCTGAGAGCTGTGGTACTAACTTTGCATCTGGTGCATGGAGAAACTCCCCAGTCAAATGTTGCCTGTGATCTTAAGTGTTGTGATATCACTTGCTCAAAGCTGTGCAGGTAGTTCATCAAACTCCAGCAAGACTTCATTTCAGCAGACTTGGTGCCTTGCAGAGAAGAGTCTGATCTCTGCAGGTCCTGTTCTCTCACTAGTTGGTCTGAGAGTCCAGTCCAGACAGGCAGGTTGTTCCCTCTGTTTTGTCTGCCCCTTGGCATGTATATGGGAATGTGATGTTACAGGAGCTTCACTGCTTCCAGATTTTTCAATCGTAACAGTTACTTTCTGGCCAAATAACTGAAAGTTATTGATCTGGAGACCAGTGAACCTGCATCATTTGGAAGGCAGTGGACTGAAACTGAGTAGAAGGAGCTGCACCAGCTCATTTGAAGACTCTTCTGACCCTGTTATAGTGTGAAGACAAAGCACCTAGATTAAAAACAAACAAATAAAAACCTCAGTCTAGGATTCTTGGCTCAGTGAAAGCTCCCAGTTGTGTCTGGCAGGTGCCTGTTGTCCTAGTGCAGTGAAAATGTGTTTCCCATTCCTTTGTAGCTATTTTGTCTCTTGTGAACGGTGCTTTATTTTCCACTTGGTTATGCAAATTGTTATATGCATATGTTACTCTGTGCGTAAAAAATACGGTGTAGATTGATTTTTATGTGCATATGCCTTTTCAAAGTAACTTCAGCCAATGTTTACTTTATTGGGTTAAATTACTATGAACTGAGAAGTGTAGCTATTGCCTAGCTTTCAATAATATTTTTGCATTTTGCTAAGATATAATGATCATTTTATTCAGTCTAATTGAAATATATAGCAGGGTATATAATGCACTTACATGGTAGGATCTTTATATAAATTAACCATAACACCAGATTTAAGAAATACTCATCCATTTTTGTATACAAATACTGAATATCCCTGTTTGCTTCATTGTTTTTTGTTTATTTTTCCTTGCTCTGTTGCTCTAGGATTTTGGCATCATGTTTACACATCACATTGTAACAGTCACCCTGATTACCTTCTCATATGTGACCAATTTGACACGAGTGGGAACCTTGGTCTTATGTCTCCATGACTCGGCTGATATTGTCCTAGAGGTGAGATAATACATATGTCATCAGTGTCTGCACATGATATTCACTATTTGAAGAGCTAGCCTGTCCTTAAGTAGAATCTATTTGCTATGCAGAACAAGTATTTCCTAAGCCAGGAGTCCAGTTCAAGATGGTAATGGTGATTAATAGTCTATTTCCTTGCTTAAATGTATTACACTTAGAGCAGTACATGTTTCTCACATGTTTCAGGCTGGTTTGTCCCTTGGTAAATTGCTTGTACAGAGCACAGATTGGTAATGCATTGCATGCCAGGGAGGATTACACACAAATTTTAAATATAACACGGTGAAATCAAAAGCTCCAAGTTGCAAATTCCAGAAAGTGGTAACAGTGGAATCGAAGGTCCTGGTTCATGACAACTCTGACATGGTGTGTGAAGCAAAAACCTTGTCTCCAAAAGAATCCAGGTGTCACAATTTGTTTCTGCTGTGCTTTACTTGGCAGAGGGTGCTGGACAATTTAGTGGCTATTTGGACATGGGCAGTGAGCTGACCTCTGATTTTCCAGGTTCCCATGCCTCTGCATCCCAGTGCCAGAACTAAGCAGTTAGATTGGGAGAAAGGGATGATTGAAATTATTTCAAGTCAAGATGGACTGTAACTTCCATAGTGGTATTTAGAGATGTTGTCATCCTTCATCTGCATCAGTTTTTAGACAGCTCTGGGTGATGCTGGGATTGGGCTGTCTATGAATTCTCCATCAGGATCAAACCAAAGTTAATAACTATTTTGTCTGAAATGACTTTTTATTAAAGTACCTGCAAGGATCCTGTTATGCAAGAATATAGTCTCACTATGTGAGTCACTTATCACAAAATCAGAATCCTGCATTCTGATTCAATAGTGCTGTAAATCTAGTTTTACTTTTTAATCTAGAAGGCACATGACTGCCTGAGATAGAAAGCAAAAGAGAACGTGGATTTCTTCTGATAGAAGTAATGACATCTCTACAAGTTTATGTTTTAGCAGTATGTGTAGCTAGGTGTGGCTTCACCTCATTTTCTTCATTCATCTTTTCTCACCACCAGAAGGATGTACTTGAAGATGTTCATTCCCGATCAGACCAATGTCTGTGGAGCTATAAAAACACTGGAGAGCAGCCATAATAGGCTAGCTAAAACCTCACCTTGAACACAGTGAGATGCATATTTTTGCTCAATCCTTCTGTTCATTCATTGACTAAGACAAAGAAGAATTGTTGATATTCTCACATGATTTGAAAACATCTTCTTAGAGCTTATAGACAGTACAGGAGAACTCAGTTGTACTCACTGAAGTAAAAAGATATTTCTTTCTTTTGCAGGCTGCCAAAATGGCAAACTATTGCAAGTGTCAAAAACTGAGTGACCTTCTGTTCCTTACATTTGCCATTGTCTTCATTGTCAGTAGGCTTGGCATATATCCCTTATGGTGAGTAAGCACATCATTTTCCTCAAATGCTAAGCACTAAACAAGCTTGGCAATAACTGTGTTGTAATTGAACATGATTCATTCTCATTACTCTATTTTCCAAAACACCAAGTTTCAGACATAACCAGGTGCTGAAATAGCCTATTTGCTAGAGTGCCAGTGTGTTTACTGTGTGCTAGACAAGAAACATATGCTGCTTTCACTAGTTTTAAGGTAGAAGTGCGTTTGGAGACAACAGAGCTTCAGGTTAGCAGCTGGTCAGCTGTGCTGGCAAGAATCTAGAGGAAAATTAAAATATTAGTCACCAAAAACACTGACCAGAGGCTAGGCTTGAAACTAGGATATTCTCAACAGCTTTCAGTGTACACTTTATGAACATGTTCAGCTTAAGGAAGAACGCAGTGATATAAGGAAACTCTGGCCTGCTGAAATTGGCATAAGGATGTTAATGCCATGCAGATTGCAATACTGCAGGCTACTCCTTTTCCACCCCTCCTTTGAACTGAGGTTCCTGAGGCAGCTGTGTAATACATACATCTATAAAGTAGTTATACAGGTGTTAGTGTAATCTCACCTCTTCCCAGACAAAGACAGTGACTTGCATGTGCACATACGTTCTCTTCTAGGTACACACACATGCATCCACACAAATGGAGCCTTGTACAGCCTGACCTAGTGAGGAGGTGTCCCTGTCCATGGCAGGGAGGGTTGGGACTAGATGATCTGTAAGGTCCATACAAACCCCTAAATTCTATGATTCTATGATTCTATGTTTAATTCTTTAGCTGGAATCTTTCAGCATCCAGAAGGTAGCTGGCTAATTAGGAAATACATTGATGTACTTCATTGTAGAAACCCATTCAAGTCTATCTGAAACCTAAGCACTATATATGAGGAGGGCTGAGAGAAGGCATTGGCCTTGCTCTTTTCTATTCTCAGTCCTTCCATTCACTCATATGAACAGAACTAACACAAGTCTCTATACCCCTATAAAAGTAAGAGGGGTCTGTCATTGCATAAGAAGATAACCGTGACAGTTTTGTTCTTGGGAAGCATCAAGAATGCTGGAAATTTCACCCTTTGCAGAGTTTGTTTAGAGAGATTACCACCAAGCTCCTTATTTAAGCATGCAGAGGATTTACAGATGCCACTGTCAACCTCCCTGCCACAGTTCCCTTTGAAATCCTCTATAATGATATCTCTTTGGGGTTTTGTTAATGCAAACAGGATAAGACCAAGGTGCCCTTAGGGAGCTGTGTCATCAGCTCTGCTTAACTGTACAACAGTACACAAGTCTCATTTAGCATTTAGTGACTTCAAAGATAATGTCATAATGCCTACTCCCTACGAGTAGTGCGATGAGTTGGTGAAGGACTATGACAAAGAGTGAAAATGGATAGGCACACAAATTCCATGTTTAAAATGCTTGTTTTCTTCAAGGAGAAATTATTTGTGTCTTAAACTGCTTTGCTTCCCTTTCCTTAGTCCTTCCTTAAACCCAGCTTGCCCATTCACTGAATTTCTGTAAATGCAGTAAGCTAGCTTCTCTACTTGCATGATCTCAGGTAGAAAAAAATGGTGGCACTTCTGCTTGTAGGATTTCATCTGTCTCTTGCCTTCCATTTTATATTAAGAAATGGAGGGAGGACCCAATTTCACCAGTGCATTTCTGCCACTGGAGACTGTAGTACATGACTGCTTCAGGGGAGGCTCAGTCCGATGATGACTGGATGGGTTTCAAAAGGGGAAGTCATACTTGACCAACCTGACAACCTTCTATGATGAAATTACTGGCTTGTACATAATCCAGTTACATAATACAGTAATTACTGGATGATGGGGCAGAGTGCACCCTCAGCAAGTTTGCTTATGTTACAACCTGTGAGGAGCAGCTGATACACCAGAGGGCTGTGCTGCTATCCAGAGGGAAGGAACCTCAACAGGCTGCAGAAACAGTCAACAGGAACCTCAGAAGTTCATCTAAAGGAAGTGCAAAGTCCTGCACCAGTATATGCTGGGGGCTGACCAGCCTTGCATCAAAGGAATTGGGGGTTCCAGCTGACACCAGGTTGAACAAGAGCCAGCAATGTGCCCTTGCAGTAATGAGGGCTATTGGTATCCTGGTCTGCACAAGGAGGGGTGTCACCAGCAGGCTGAGGAGGGTGATCCTTCCCCTCTACTCAGCCTGGTAAGGCCACATGTGGAGGACCTTGTCCAGTTCTGGGCTCCCCAGTACCAGAGGGATACAAAGCTACTGGAGGCAGTCCAGCAAACAGTCACCAAGGTTGATGATTAAGGGACTGGAGCACCTGTCATGTGAGCAAAGGCTGAGACAGTCAGGACTGTTTAGCATAGAGAAGAGAAAGCTCAGGACAGATGTTATCAATATATTGAAATATATGAAGGGACAGTGTAAAGAAGACTGAGCCAGGCTCTTTTCAGTGATATCCAGGGCTAGGACCAGAGGCAGTGAGCATGAACTGATACACAGGAGGGTCCACCTGAACATCAGGAAACACCTTTACACTGTGGGAGTGGCTGAGGACTGGCACAGGTTGGCCAGAGAGGAGTCTCCATCCTTGGAGATACTCCAGAGTCATCTGGACTTGGTCCATGTATTATGTGAAATGGCAAAGAAGGAACTACTGATTTTAAATATTTTGTTATTCAAACATAAAATTTACCAAATCATTGCTATGTGCTTGCTTTGCTGATTAATCAACAAAGACCAAATTAAATCTTTTCCAGAGTACATGATTTTGAAGGAAGTCATTAGGCTTCAGGCATTTAACTAGAAGCAGCTGCCCAGTATTCTTTTTCTTTTAATACATCTGAAAATCAGGAAGGTCCAGATTTTCCCATCCTTTACATCCTTACTATGGTAGTCAAATTTTGCAAAGTCCACACTTCAACCTGAAGTGTGTAAAACAGCACCATACATTTATAACTGGAACTGAAGCTCAGAAACTGGTGGTTCACGCTATCTTGAGTGATTTCTGTGAAATGTTGCAGCCAAGTGTCACTCTGTGCAGGAAGCCCTTGCTAGGACTATGCAAATTATAAATTAAACATTGACGTGGCTAGTGGGAATCAGGCATCATAGAGGTGAAGTCTGTGTAAGTGTCCCTAATACACACCTCATGCTGTCTGACTGGCAGAGTCCCAGAAGAGATTACCAGCACAGCAGTAAGTTATCTACCAAGTGTCGAAACTTGAGCCCTGCTCTGCAGCTGTGGCATTTTGTGCTGGTTTTCAGGATGTGCCCAGCCATTCCTGTATATGTTACTGACAGCAGCACTTCCATGCCACCTTAGATTGAATCCTGTCTGAATCCTACTCTACAGAGTAGCACTGGCCAAGTGTGCTGAAAGCAGGGTTAAAATTGAAGCAAGAAGATCCAGAGAAGAGGGCTGCACAGAAGCTGCTGTTATTGGTGTCAACTTCCTTGGTACTCAATGTTGGGCTAATGAGGGCAGCAGGTTACAGCCATGGGTGACGTTTGCCACTGGAATGGAAAAGATCAGCAGAGACTCTTGAAGGTAGTGAAGGCAGAGTATTTTGTATTAAGGGAAAACAGCAGCCGACAGCGTGCTGTGTGCTCCTGTGTCACAGGGTGAGTGGTTACACTGGTGATCTCTCTGCCTCTCCTCTCCCTCGTTTCAGTGTAACTCCAGCCGTCAACAAAGCCCCATGCTCCCTCACTTCCCCTCAGTGGGATGGGGGAGAGTATCAGGAGGGTAAAAGTGAGAGAACTCATGTGTTGAGATAAAAGCAATTCAATAGGTAAAGCAGAAGCTGCGCATGCAAACAAAGCCTAACAAGGAATTCCTTCACCACTTCCCCTGGGCAGGCAGGTGTTCAGCCATCAGGACAGCAGGGCTCCATGTGTAACTTGTGAAGACAAATGTCATCACTCCAAATATCTCCCCCTTCCTCCTTCTTCCCCCAGCTTTATATGCTGAGCATGACACCCTATGGTATGGGATATCGCTGTGGTCAGTTGGGGTCAGCTGTCCTGGCTGTGTCCCCTCCCAACTCCTTGTGCACCCCCAGCCTCCTCACTGGTGGGGTGGTGTGAGGAGCAGAAAAGGCCTTGACTCTGTGTGAGCACTGCCCAGCAATAATGAAAACATCTCTGAATTCAAACACTGTTTTCAGCACAAGTCCAAAGCATTCCCATACTAGGTACCACAAAGAAAACTTAAGTCTATCCCAGCCCAAACCAACCTATCCCTTAATCAATGAAAACCACATTTATTTATTTGAATATGCAAATGGTTCAGTGTGATATATATAAGCTTTGTTTTTTAAGACCATTTTATTTCCAGACCACAGCCTTGATGTATGTATTCCTAATGGTTACCTTTAGATACAGCTATAATCACTGAGCCCAGAAGCAGTTTCATTGTTCTTAGCTGTACTATAGGCAATGCATGTGGGAGTCAGAGTTAGCAGGGATGAAGCATGGGATGTATGAGCTTGTCTCTCCCAAATCCTTTTTCTCTATGAAACATCAATTCTAAATCTTCACCCCCATTAGCTTGTGTGTCAGCAAAGATGAGTCAGTGCAGTGGCAGCAGGCCAGGAAGCATAGTTTTGCTCTCCTTTGCTGAAAATTCTGAATAGCAAAATTTGGTGCCCAATTATTACATAAATATGCAAAATTTTCTAGCATAAAATCAGGGAGGTATAAAATCAGTGTGCATGTAATGTAAAAGGAAGACTGTAATTTATAAGAAAACTTCCCACACACAGGAAGGTGAATATCCAAGACAGGCTTCCAGAGACGTCACTTCCGAAGCACTGGCATGCTGTTGTGCTCCAGATTTGCACAAGTGTCATTTAATTTTGCATAAAGGTGCTAATAAAGAATTCAGATTGTATCAAATGCTGTTGTTGAAGGTTGTTTAACAGCAGGGCTAAGACAAAAGAAACTGGCAATTAGGTATATATTTAGCAGTCTTTCTGCAGACATCTGGAGCTCGTTTCAGCAATAATTC